TGCAGACGTATTTGTTTCAGAAAGTTAGAATTTGACTAACTCAAGCTAATTTTGAATGAATTTTATTATTCATTGTTGCTAAACAACTGATAAGAATTTATTTGAGTAATTTTTAGTGCGTTGTATTTCTCATTTAGCAATAAGGCACAGTTGTCGGTTAGTATAAAAGCATCAAAAGAATTTTTGGTAAAATAGTATGTGAGAACAAGTATTATGTTAAGAACAAGTAATTATGTATAAAATGAGTAAAATTTTAAGTTTCTAGACATCGCGCTTTTTCAAATGTAGAAAAGTTTTCCCTTCAGCTTTGTGTCTACTTCAGTGGCAGTGTCAGATTCCAGAAAACTGGTGACAAAAACGGCCAATCTGTGGGCATACTGTAGAGAGAGAGAGGAAGGGAAAATGAACAAGCGATAAACACATTGAGCAAGGTTTTTACCACTACTGGAGCAGGATGTCGTACGACTGACTTTGAATGGTAAAATAAGTGGCAAAGTTTGTAGGAGAGAGACTGCAGAAAGGACAAGTCGATGGCAGCCTTGCAACTGTATTCGCCAGATCGTAAATGACGCACCCAAATGGGGCAGGTCGCCGAGAGATTGTTCTTTTGTGGAAGAAGGAAAAACTCGTCAAAGCTGATGTCACTGGTTCGGCGATCAGCTTTATATAATTCCACGCTGTTGTTTTGAGCATAGAGCTTCTCAGAACAACCCTTTGTGACGGTCATGAATGCGATGTACGGCATAAAGTTGCCTTTCTTTGTACAGGTATTAGTCTGCGGGAGGAAATAAAGCAAAGTTAAAGAACTGGCTAACAGAATTTAGCTTACCGGTTCATTGGTTATAGCATCGAGGTAGTAAACGTTCTTAATTGAGCGCTCTAAAAGAGTGTACTCAAAGCTGACCAGTTTCTCTAGTGGAATGTCATTGTTGTCTTTCTTACGATAGATGAAAATGTAAGCAGGCAGGCGGTTGTTAATAGACTTGTACTTGTACAAAACTTTCGAAATGATCTTCCCTAGACTTTCGTTGAAAAGATAGAGGCTCCAATTTTCTTGATTTTCGGCGTTCTCCTTAATGACTGCTCTCGAGTACCAAGTGGTAGCATTAGAGTTCAACGAAGCAACAAAACCAATGACCGATGATTTGGTTTTATCATTTTCCCTCTTTCTAAGTTTTTTGTGGCCGTAGCAGACATCAATGCCAATGAACATGACAGCAGGCAGTGTCATTTGAATGCCGCGAGGAACACCGCCTGCTTTGCAGGTCATTTCCATTAGCAGATTTGGCGCCAGACGTGCCAGTTTTCTGGGTTGAACAAGCAGCGACCCTCGGACAAACTGCAGCGGCACACCCAAGTGCAAAGTGCAGAATCGTTTGATGTGGTGGAAGAAGAAGGGACTTTCAACATTGCCCGGAGTGACGATCACGATGACTCGGTCACAGAAACTTTGACTTTTTTCAATGGCTCTCAAGTAGTTTTCGGTAGAAATTAAGATGTCAAATCCAGCCGCTACCATTACCGTTCGTGGCTCTGCCATTTTGATGGACATCAGATCCGCGTTCCGACGTAGCAGAGCGATGAAGTTGTCAACGTAAAGCTGATCTTCTCTGCTGAAGATAACCAGCCAGCTGCTGCCCATCCTCACCGGTTTAAGAAGAGATTCACCCAATGAGACACTGTCCACCTGGTGGCCCAATGCAGACCGTGCTCTACTCGTCGTTGCAGTGGTCTTTGTCAGCTTTTCCGGGTACGCATTGGAGAGTGTGCTGAAGGAGGATGGAAGCAGGGTCAGGCCCCAGTCTGCCAGTAACTGTGAGGCGTTCTCGTGATTGAGCACTGTAAAGATGTACTTCATTAGCTTGTGATAGCGCAGGTTTTCTTCGGCTGATGAAGATGGCTCTAATCCGGACACCTTCCGAACGGCACTGCGACCAAACATAAGGCGGTACCCGGTGCTGGTGCACAGTTCAGGCACGAGGTGCATGTTGCGAATCTGATTCAGAGAAATGAAAACATCACACTAGTAAGGCTTATTAAATTCCAAGTTCTAACACTTTCTTACCATGTTTGATTTCGGCAACAACTTTTTGTGCACTAGAAGAGGCTGAGTGAGGTCTTTGATGACTATGCCCCAGTGCTGCTTGAAGTAGTCAAAGTAGGTAGTGGTAGCATCCCCGTTTCCAATCCATTCACAGTTGCTAAGTGGGCTTGATTCAAAGTCGATCGCATCAATGCGGTACGTCTGTTGTCCGTTTCCGCACCGTGTAGTGACGTAGCTGCCGACAATGTACCGACTGGCGAGCTGCTTGAACTTTTCATTAGGCGCAAAAAGACGAATCTGATCGAGAATGTTTGCTCTGTGAAGTACTCTATGACTGGTGTCACAAGAGAGAAGGAGCTGTTGTTGTTTTGAATCATGATCTTCCTCCACAACAGTGATGTCTATTGCCAAACCAGGCCAAATCTCCAGAAACCACTCATCAAGGCTGATTGGCTGCTTCGGGTCAAAGTACTTTGTTTGCATGAGATCATCATTGAGCATATCACTGACGTTCTTGAAGAGACAGTTAAAGATGACAAGTTGATCCCGCAACGGCAGCAGCTTTAGGTACTTTACGGAAATCTTAAGGTAAGCATTTGGATCTGTTGATAAATGCTGTTGCTCAGGATGTGGTATTGGAAACAAAATGAAATTGGACACTTTTGTGGGCAGGTAGAAAAGATCTCCGAAAAGAAAGGGAATCACATTATTCAGTCGAATTTGCACTGCGGGATGTTCCATTATCCTGCGAATGACCCTAGCATCGGTGATTTGCGGCTCCACGGTCAGTTTGTAAAGAAAAATGTTGTATTCTGGTTTTCGTAGAATTTGTAAATAGTTTGTAAAACTCTCCATTTTGTCAGCATCAGTATAAGTGCTCATGATGACTTTAGTTTTGTTGCGATCGTCTTGAGCTTAGGCCTAAAATCAAAGTGATGTGTTGTTGCTTTTATTGCCTTTTGCAGGAGCCGACTGAATGACTCAAGTTCAAAAGAATGATTTAAGTCATCGATAAACAAAGTAGATGACAGATAAGAGCAAAGTTTTTAAAATCGAGAAACCTACAAAAAAACTCAAAGCCAAAATGCCGTATAACCACCAAAAAGAGCACA